TGGTGCTGAAAGCGGTACCATTATTTTGCATGGAAATATGTAGTTTTTTTATTGTAGGCTGTAATTTTTAGGAATAACTCACTCAAATCTGTCTGAACAAGAGTCTAAATCATACATTTAATTCAATATATAATCAAACCAAAAACACTGAAATTTGAAATATAGCGCCAAGTTCCCACACATTGCTGAGCAAAGTCGCAAAATTGTTTTCAGTGTCTGATGACGAATTTCTCCACGAATCATTATCACTCAATTCTGTAAGTGGTTCTGATTTACTATCACTGTTCTCTAGCTGATCTAAAACCGCTTTTGACCTAAAGGGACACTTTTTGGACGCCATGGACATTTCTAAGTTTCCAGGCAGAAAGAACAGTAAAAATGCAGACAGGGGACAGGACAAAGCACTAGGGACAAAATGTATGTGAAATGGGTTGAAACAGCAAAGATTTTACTATGTAAAATCGTTTTGAAAAAAATGAAATTTTTTTAAAATTTTCAAATTTCCCGCCGCCGGCAGTGCCCGTACGTCCCGACGTCACAGGGACCGGAACACAGAAGGCGGATGCCGGCATCAGCCGGAGGAGATGGCCGGGGACGCTGCAGGGGACACATTGCGGGAGCGAAGGACAAGGTAAGTGCTGCAGGGACTATGCAAGTGCCGCATAGTAAGCCCGAGTGTAGCTCGGGGTTACCGCTTTTGGTATAGACATTTTACCCCGAGCTACACTCGGGAATACCGTTAGGGAGGTTAACTGATACTTTGCACTAATTGACCCAAATTGCACCGCAAAAATTGGCATGCTATTTGAACAGGAATGCAATTCCTGCCTTAGAATGGAATCCCAGATGTATTGAACAAGTTCCCTTACAATATGTAATATTTTTCCCAAACAAAAACCACATTCACAGTTAGAATTTAATTTGAGAAAAAATGTCAACATGTGAATTGTACTACCTTTAGCCCTCATGCACACTGGACGTTTTGATAACGCTGGCAATGTTAGCTGTGTAAAGTCATGTTAAAAATGTGAGTTTTTCAGCTTTTTTAAGCATTTTTGCATTAGCGTTTAGCGGCTTTTTCCCACGTATAGCGGTGTTTTCCCACATTTGTGATTTTTAGCTTATTTTACCATAAAAAATGGTTTCTTTTTGTCAAAAAAATCCAAAAAAAACGCCGGTTTGCGGTGTTTTTACCATGTTTATCAGAATTAGAGAATTTTTACAGCTAAAAACTCCTCTAAAAACACACGAGTTCTGGGGGTTTTTTTCCAGCCAAAAAACGTCCCAGCCAAAAAAACGTTGATTACAGTCTATGTGTGCATGGACACATAGAATAATATGCTGGGGGCTTTACTATCTGTAGAAAAAAATATCAAAAGCTAAAAACATCCGCTGTAAAAACGTCAAGTGTGCATGAGGACTTAAAGAGATATGTAATTTTCACATCACTATGGTTTAAAAAAATAAATGTCAAAAATTTAAAATTTCTAAAACTGGTATATGGTCAGCTTAAAGCAGTATTAACCCCAAAACAATTATGTATTAAATTGCAGCTTACCAGTTCTTAAATTTAGTGGCTGCATTAGTTTTCCTTTTTTAGGTTTTTTTTCCTTTATTTTTTTCTGGTGATCCTGTCACTAAGTCTGTTGTTTTTCAACAGATACAAGCTGTCTTGCAGATGTAGCAATTAGAAGGTTGAGACAAACCATTTACCACTGGTGGGGGTGCTTACAATGATCTGCATTTATTTAAGCAAAACCTTTATCCCAAAAGGAAACAACTGTTGGCTGTAACTGCTTAAAAGTGTGAGCTGGAGTTTGGCTTCAGTTGGTTAGTGTGTCTAAATATGCTAGTGCATCTAACACACCCCTGCCCCCAGACTGACCATGCAGCTGTCCAAAGATGTTTCTGTTGCTCTTCCATCCAGAGTGTTGTACATTGCATTTTGGGTTTAATACTGCTTTCAGTTTTCAGACAGTAAGAACAGAGTGATGACTTTATCAGTGTGGTGATTCTTCTCCATTGTCTAATCAACAGACTAATTGACAAGTCAGTAACTACACTGTGCTATTAAACTTCAGCAAAATGAGTTTAGAAACCTGGCTATGCTGCCAGAGATTTCCAGCTCATAAGACTGGTATGAATACATCACAAAGGGCTCATCCTCTATAATATAAACTACAGTTTAATAAACAGAGCAATGTTGTCTAGAGTTACAAAGTATCATAAGTAGAAATTCTCATGATCCAGCTAGGAGATTTATAATATTTATGATTTTCCACATACAACAACTGACCCAGTGAGCATGAAGAATATCCACAATAACTAGTTCAACAGGACTGGATCAATTTAACAGCCTCAGCCTTGTTTGGAAGCACTTGCTGATGTACTGATACTTTTCTAATTGAGGCTCCATTCACACTAGGGTGTTTCAAATCGCTGCAATTCTGCCAGCGCTTTGAAAACGTGCTGTGAAAATGTGAAAATGCGCATTTGCGTGTTTAGCTGCCACCTAAACAAAATCGCAGGACGTGTGACATCCAAAAATGGTTCCGGAGCTTCTTTTGGGTGTTGCACGTTTCACAATTTTGTTTGCATGTTAGTGTCGCTTTTATTACTCTGAAAAATGCGGCATGAAACATTCTGCATTTTCAGGTGCCATTGAAATGAATGGCACCTGAACACGTGAATGAACGTTTTCACATTTTCACAGCACATTTTCAAAATCGTGGACAGAATTGTGGCAATTACGCTCCTGATTTGAAACACCTAAATGTGAATGGAGCCTGAGGATTATTGAAGAAAAACACCTTAAACATTTAGCTGCTACCACAATTGGAATTCATATAGTCTAGAACAGGGGTATCCAAACTTTCTAAATAAAGGGCCAGTTTACTGTCCTTCATACCTTAGGGGGCCAGACTGTGGCCAGTGGGAGTAGAAAATGAATTGCTGTCAGTGGGAGGAATAGTGCCCCATATTGAATATTAGGGAATGAATAGTGTCCTATCATTGCTATAAGTGAGAGAAATAGTGTCCCATCATTTGTATTAGTGGGAGGAATATTGCCCCATCATTGATGTCAGTGGGAGGAATATTGTGCCATCATTGGTATCAGTAGGAGGCATATTGCCCCATCATTGGTATCAGTGGGAGGAATAGTGCCCCATCATTGGTATCAGTGGAGGAATATTGCCCCATCATTGGTATCAGTGGGAGGAATATTGCCCCATCATTGGTATCAATGGGATTAATATTGCCCCATCATTGGTATCAGTGGGAGGATTATTTCCCCATCATTGGTATCAAGGGGAGGAATAGTGCCCCATCGTTAGTGTCAGTGGGATGAATAATGCCCCATTGTTGGTGTCAGTGGAAGGAATAGTGCCCCATTGTTGGTGTCATTGGAAAGAATAGTGTCCTTAGGGCCAGATAAAGGCAAGGAAAGGGCCACATCAGACCCCCATGCTGGAGACCACTGGTCTAGAATGTGCCAAAGAATACCTCTTTTTCTTGGATAATAACACTGGCTTAAAGTGGTTATAAAGTCAAAATTTTTTTTTTTTTTTTACTTTAATGCATTCTCTGCATTAAGTAAAAAATGCCCCACTACTTGTCCTACCCCACATTCGCTCAAGCAGCACGCAGCCACGGCGTCCTGGTCTCACAGGAGACAGGCAACAGGAGCCATAGGCTCCTGCTGCTCTCAGCACTCCTGTGTGGAGGGAACAGGGGTGTGGCTTAGCAGCACTGTGTGTGTCTTTGGATGCACATAGCCTGGCTTGGGAACATGTAAGCACGGGTGCCACTTTAGCAACCGGCTTGTTAGGAAGGCTCTGGGAGGAGGGAGAAGTGGACCGCGTCCAGCAGGGGACTGCCAAAAGAGGATGTAAGGGACCTTTCTGTGCAGTATCACTGCACAGAGCAGGCAAGTATAGCCTGTTTTTATTAAACACAATATAGCTTTTAACAATATCAGTTATTCTCTCCTTTTTCTTTCATCTCTACATTTTTCAGTAATACCTTCCTGCTCATTGTCATCAGGGGTGCTGTCCTTATTTGTCAACCAAAGCCAAGATTTTCCACAAGTGGTTTCCTTTGTAATCTATAAATCATTTCTACTCCCACTCCTTCCCTTCTGAAGTGTTGCATAGCTTCTCTCTGTTACTAAGCAAGTACACAATTAACGGTATGAGAAACAGCACATTTTTTACATTTAGTGAGTGGTTTAAAAATGTCTAGATGTAAAAATTTTAAAGAAATCATGGCCAGAACACATCATATCAATAAAAATAGAAGGTCATTTTCACCAGAACATGAATCATTTTGGACCGTGCAGGATGAAGATTATGGAAAATAGGATTAATATGGAGCGTTCCACTAAAGCAACTGAAGGCAGCGCATTAAATTTTGCGTGACTGCAAATTCCATTTCTCAGAATATTATGAGAGATGCAATGTATGATGATGAATACAGAAGCCAAGTATTCCATGAATGCTTCAAAACTACCCAATATAAACATATGTGGATAAAGTGGAGTGAAGAAAAGAAGATCAAGACAGCGGTCACATGTATAAGAATACACTTTACATTTCAAAGGAGTCCATGCTCGCATAATCATGTTAAATGGAAAAATACAATTTATAGAGCCATCCCTTTCTTCCAGAAAGGTTTCATGTTTTCAAGAATGTCTACATTTTTTTTTCAGAACCATCACCATATCCAGAGCCCCAAAGGTCAGCAGTGACTCCTCTACTTCCTTGTTCTGATTTAGTGATTCTTCAGAGGTTCCTTATTTTCAATAATGTCTACATTTCTATTTCAGAACCATCACCATCTCCAGAGTCCCATAGATCAGCAGTGACTCCCCTGCTTCCTTGTTCGGATCCAGTGATTCCACTGTCTGTATCCATCTCCATATCCTCAGCTATGGTTGCTGGTTCCCAACATGCAAGACCTTTAGGTTCTTGAACCTGGATATCACAATATGATTGGTTTACCTCCATCGCACCAATGTTAGTATCTATGTTAAAATGAAATGGGTCATCATTGGCTGTTGGTATGGTTGGATCGCTGAAACCACTGGCACCCTCAGTTTTCTTGGGAGTATCATAGAAGCTAATCCCTTCCAGGATTTCGGTAAGCGAAGGTCCGAAGTCCATAACCAAGGACTGCATGGAGTCACAATGCCACAGACTGCTAGAAAGCTCCACAGGAACAGTACAGACACTGACATCCTCTCTATCAGGTAGCCCAGAGCTGGCCCAGTCATCATCTGGTTTCTGAGAGCTGGTATCCTCAGACTGATCCTCAGAGCTAGAAAGTCGAGGCATGGTGTAGTATCCAGATTTCAGACCTGAAAATATAAATAGATCCTGCTATCATTTATATTATAATCAGTTATTAAAGAGTTTTTTAAAAACTGAATTCCAGGCAAGATATAAAAGATACAAATAAATTAAGCTCTCTAATCATTAAAGTACATTTATACAATACATGCACATTTCTCCGTGTTTAATCCCTTTAAAAACCCTGTAAATATAGGAATATACCTGTTGATCTGCTGGTTTAGCTCCTAAGTCTTGTTTGTGGGCTGACAACATGTAGTATGTTTGTGGACTAAGCGGTTTTAGCCCTGCACAGCTGCTTTTTGCTAAACTACTGAATCCCTCCCCAATGTCCTTATCCCCACAAACTGGGGACTAATTGTTTTGTAGTCCAGGATAAAATCTGGGCTAATTAGGCTCCTTAACTAGTTCCAGTCCGGGCTAATTCTAACATACCTCTCCTACATGTGAAAATTAGCATTTTTTCCTCTATAAAACTACTTAGAGCCCCCAAACGTTATATACTTTTAAAGCAGAGGCCCTAGAGAATAAGATGGTGGTTGTTGTATATTTTTGGAAAACATAAACTGAATTTTAATGAGCAAAAACACAATATAATACCCAATTGTTTGATAAAATATAAAAGCTAATGTTACGGTGAGTAAATAGACACTAAACATGTCACACTTTTAAAACTGCATTACACCCGTGGAACGACGCCAAACTATGGCACCTAAAAAAAATGTATACATCTTTACAGGTTACCAGATAAGAGTTACACATGAGGTCTGGTGTTCAATATCTCACATATGTGGTGCAATCACCTTTCCATATGTGTGCGGGATCCTTTGCGCATGAGCACAGGGGGACAGGGTGCTTTAAAAAAATGTATTATTTTAAATTTTTTTTGCACTGTACCATTATTTATTTTTTTTTTGATCAACATATTGCACTCTCAAGGAATGAACAACATTCCTTGTGATAGCATGGGCCATGACTAGTCCTCTTTATGGAAAGATCTGGGTTCTTTTAGACTCCTGATCTCTCCTCTGGCCTCCAAAGCATCAGATCCAACTGAGACAGATTGGATTTGATGCTTTCACAAACCGAAATTGGCTTGTTTACATGAGACCTAAACCTTAAGTGACAAAATCCTTGTTGCTTACAGTTTCTGACATCACACAATGGTAGGAACAACATCATTAAATAATTGTGATTTTATAATTATTAAAACAATATTTAAGAAGAAATCTCACCAGTAGTTAACACAGCTTGTTAAATTCAAGCTAGACTGTTAGATTCAAAGGATCCTGTGCACATAGCACAGGGTGCTATGGTTCCTCAAGCTGGCCATAGATGGTGTAATTTTCTTTCCTGCAACCACTGGTTAAAGGGAAGATAATTGCTTGATTTCCCTATTACCACTGACTGACTTCCTGCGGAGCTATTGTGTTCTCCTGGGGAGGGGGGGTGGGGGGAGCAGTTATAATTGCTAGCAGTTATATATCCGACATGCTGGTTTGTAACTAAGTTGATCAATCAATCAACTTGGCTACAGTCAGCTTGCCCGTACATGGTTCAAATCTCATCTAGTCCCTGCTGAACCGGCTGAGGTTTGAAACATCTATGACCGGCTTAAGCAGAGTTGTCAGATGGCTAGCCCCTTCCCCTGCCCACCAAAATCCGACAACTCTGGAAAAAGGAGACGGGCTTCTAACTGACTGCTTAGAGGAGAGGGGCAGTGCAGACCCAGAGCATACAAAGCCCGCACAGCGCTTGCTACCTCTGAACTCTGCAAACAGAACATCTGTAGCCTCCTTTGCCATAAACCTCTGGGCTTTCTGCAATAAACCAAGTTTATAATGTTAATTGGTTGGGATTAGTGATTTCAGCAGTTTGCCTTTGTAAAACTTTGTTAGACTTTCATGTTTCTTCAAAGTGAACCTGCCAGTGAAAACACACTGTGCATTGAGATAACTTGCTAATTGATGGTATCAATGTGCACCTTCATATACAGTATCTTTTGTCCTCCTGAAATCCTCTTCTGCAAATTGCAAGAGCCCCTGACATTAGATCTCCCAGTGTAAGGTGTGTACCTCTGCGAGCTTTGGAATGGTGCTATCGTGACATTCTGCCATGAGCCGGAAGTGCTAAAACTTTCACTTATGTAGTCAGGTGCTGGCTATACTATTATGCCATTCAGGGACATTTACAGATGAGACTGTGGTTAATCCTTTTTCCCCCTAGTGCCCAGTACTGGGGACTGCTACATTACTTCCTGTTAGCAGAGTGGATTCAGTTCTTCTGACAGCAGAGGATCCTGGGACCTGTAGTCCTATAGCCAATGCATACTGTATTTCTGAGTGCTGATTGAACTACAACTACCAGAGAGCTATGTACAGAACTAGAAGGTTGCTGGGAGAGAAGATCTATATTCTACAGAAAGGGACTGGCTAGCTCCCTCGGTGCATAATTCAGAGCTGAACACAGGGGGACTGCCATTCTCCTCCATAGACAGATTGCTGGCTATTACTGCAGGACTCTGCATACCAGTTCAGCACAGCAGTGACACCAATTGCCACACCTGGATGGCATTAGCTTCTCTGCATCGGGACTGTCGCTATCCAGTCTTCAGCCAGTCATCTCTACTTGCCGCACTGACAGGCTGTAAGGCAGTAACTCTGCACTTCTCTGCAAACAGCTAAGAACCTGTGCAAGAACCGTGTTCCTAGGAGGCCATGCTATTCATGGGATTGGTGGGAAGGCGGATGCCCAACCTCTTTCTGACAACACTCTAGAGACACTGCATACAGACACCTTTACACCTCAGTACCAAGAGATCTTTGCTTTGAGCATTTACCACAGTCTATTTGTTATCTTCATTGAATTACCATTACTCACTACTGTATATGGGCCCCACCATTGCTAGCAGAAGACAATGGCTACTATCACATCTCGGGACTTAAGTTGCTATTTCTAGTTAAAGAGACCTCTTCACATTTAAGTCGTCATTCAAAGTATGGTAACTATGCCCATTTATGCTAGAATATATATACACTGCTCCAAAAAATTAAAGGAACACTTTGAAAACACATCAGATCTAAATCTGGAAAAATATGCTGGATATCTATACTGATATGGACTGGGTAATGTGTTAGGAATGTAAGGATGCCCCATCATTTGATGAAAATGAAAATTATCAACCTAGAGAGGACTGAATTCAAAGACATCCAGAAAATCAAAGTGAAAAAATTATGCAGCAGGCTAGTCCATTTTGCTTAAATTTCATTGCAGCAACTCAACATGGTACTCAGTAGTTTGCATGGCCCCCACATGCTTGTATGCATGTCTGACAATGTTGTGGCATGCTCCTAATGAGACGACAATGGTGTCCTGGGGTATTTCCTCCCAGATCTGGACCAGGGCATCAATGAGCTTCTGGACAGTCTGCAACCTAGTGGCGTCGGATAGACCAAAACATGAAACCCCCAGAGGTGTTCTATTGGAATTAGGTCAGGCGAGCTTGGGGGCCATTCAATGGTATCAATTCCTTCATCCTCCAGGAACTGCCTGCATACTCTCAGCACATGAGACCGGGCATTGTTGTGCACCAGAAGGAACCCAGGATCCACTGCACCAGTGTAGGGTCTGACAATGGGTCCAAGGATTTCATCTCAATAGCTAATGGCAGTCAGGGTGCACCATTGTCTAGCCTGTAGAGGTCTGTGCATCCCTCCATGAATATGCCTCCCCAGACCATCACTGACCCACCACCAAAACGGTCATGCTAAACGATGTTACAGGTAGCATAATGTTCTCCACAGCTTCTCTAGACCCTTTCACGTCTGTCACATGTGCTGAGGGTGAGCCAGTGTGAAAAGCACAAGGTGACAGTGGCGGATCTGCTAATTCTGGTGTTCAATGTCAAATGCCACTCGAGCTCCATGGTGCTGGGCAGGGCCCTCAGGCCACCCTCATGAAGGGTCTGTTTCTGATTGGTCAGAGACATTCACACCAGTGGCCTGCTGGAGATCATTTTGTAGGGCTCTGGCAGTGCTCATCCTGTTCCTCCTTGCACAAAGGAGTTGATACCGGTCCTGCCTATGGGTTAAGGACCTTCTATGGCCCTGTCAAGCTCTCCTAGAATAATTGTCTGTCTCCTGGAATCTCCTCCATGCTCTTGAGACTGTGCTGGTAGACACAGCAAACCTTCTGGAAATGGCACGTATTGACATGCCATCCTGGAGCAGTTGGACTGCCTGTGCAACCTCTGTAGGGTCCAGCTTCTGGCAATGGCAAGTATTGATGTGCTATCCTGGAGGAGTTGGACTGCCTGTGCAACCTCTGTAGGGTCCAGGTATCACCTCATGCTACCAGTAGTGACACTGACCCTAGCCAAATGCAAAACTAGTGAAAAACAGTCAGGAAAGATGAGTAGGGGAAAAAAGTAATTGGCCTCCACCTGTAAAACCATTCCTGTTTTGGGGGTCATCTCATTGTTGCGCACCTAGTGCACTTGATGTTAATTTCATTAACACCAAAGCTGCTGAAACTGATTAACAACTCCCGCTGCTACTTAATTGACCAGATCAATATCCCAGGAGTTTACTTGACTTGATGTTATACTCTGATTAAAAAGTGTTCCTTAATTTTTTGCTCAGTGTGTATATATATATATATATATATATATATTTATTTATGTAATTCTTTGTGTTCCCTATTGTGATGCTAGAGGCAGAGAGGGAGCTGATAAGTCAACAAGCCTTTTATTCCTCCTCCTCTTCCTAGTGTTGCAGTTACATAGTTACATTTGTGACCATATCATTTGTTAACCGTTGCTATTTGGGTATTTCCATTTTATCATTGTTTTGCTTTTATGCGTTAACTGGGTATGCACCTTCTAAACCTTCATTCTGTGACCTACTCTTTTGAATGAGCCTAATACAGAGATGTTACTAAAGAATTGTGTCTCTTGCATTACTATTTCATACTGTTGAAATATGTCTGAACTCAGAGGTGTCCGGAGGCT